TTGGCACAATATAATAAAACCATTAGTCCTGAGAAAATAAGTAAATCAGATTTTTTTTCCCATCTGAAGAATTTCATCTTTTGAACACATTGCAATTTAAACATGTCTAGTCAAAATGCAAAATTCCTTTCACTTCTCTTGGTGCTAATCATCTCAGACTATTTATAGTAAATAATAATAATATCCAGTGAAATAAACTGATCGAAAACGTATAAAGATATCTATTCAATTCATAGAATACTCAACTTCCTCTTATCTTCAAGAAAAAAATATCAAGATTCAGGTCACAATTGATAATACTATTGAAAAAAAACAATAGCTTCTTCTTTGCGCAGTTCGTGTCTCTATTTTTTGTCTTTATGCAAACACATGTGTATATGTACGTATGTATGTATGTATGTATGTATGTATGTATGTATGTATGTATGTATGTATGTATGTATGTATGTATGTATGTATGTATGTATGTATGTATGTTTGTTTGTTTGTTTGTTTGTCTGCATGTATGAATGCATGTTAGTATACGTGTATATCAGTACGTTGGTAAGTACATATGTATGCCTGTACATATGTATGCCTATAAGTATGTACATATGTAAGCATGTACGTACTGATATAAATATGTATATATATACATGTATGTCTTGATATAGAGATGTGTGTGCGTGCGCGCGTGTGTGTGCGTGTGTGTGTGTGTGTGTGTGTGTGTGTGTGTGTGTGTGTGTGTGTGTGTGTGTGTGTGTGTGTGTGTGTGTGTGTGTGTGTGTGTGTGTGTGTGTGTGTGTGTGTGTGTGTGTGTGTGTGTGTGTGTGTGTGTGTGTGTGTGTGTGTGTGTGTGTGTGTGTGTGTGTGTGTGTGTGTGTGTGTGTGTGTGTGTGTGTGTGTGTGTGTGCGTGTGCGTGTGTGTGTGTGCGTGTGTGTGTGTGTGTGTGTGTGTGTGTGTGTGTGTGTGTGTGTGTGTGTGTGTGTGTGTGTGTGTGTGTGTGTGTGTGTGTGTGTGTGTGTGTGTGTGTGTGTGTGTGTGTGTGTGTGTGTGTGTGTGTGTGTGTGTGTGTGTGTGTGTGTGTGTGTGTGTGTGTGTGTGTGTGTGTGTGTGTGTGTGTGTGTGTGTGTGTGTGTGTGTGTGTTGTGTGTGTGTGTTTGTGTGTGTGTGCGGCGCACGCGTGCGTATGTCCACGTGCTCATTCCGTTTCCGATGTAGAAGTGTTTTCATTATAATAAAAACGCATATGCGCCTGTATGTTACATCTATCACAAACCCGTGAACGGACCGACGAACGGACAGACTTTGTCATTCCCACACAGTCACATTTACTAAAACAAACCCACACACACACACACAATCTCTCTCTCTCTCTCTCTCACACACACACACACACACAACACACACACACACACACACACACACACACACACACACACACACACACACACACACACACAACACACACACACACACACCTCACACACACCACACACCTCACACACACACACACACACCACAACACCTCACACACCTCACACACACCACACCACACACACACACACACACACACACACACACACACACACACACACACCACACCACACACACACCACACACACACCTCACACCCACCACCACACACCCACACACACACACACACACAGACACCCACACCCACAGACACTCACACTCTCTCTCACTCTGATATAGGCCTACATCCCTGTAGGTATTGCCAAACTAAAGAGAAAAGTAATATTCACTAATCCGGATTGCCGAAATGAAAAAGTAAAGCGGGGCAGATAGAATTACTGATAAAAAGGTGAGTGTGGGAGAACAAAAAAGAAAATTAGAAATTGAAATGAAAGGGAAATGGAAAACAATTTCGTTGCACCGTTATGAAAAATCACTTTGAAAATAAATCTTATCTGCATATATAACGTGTCCGATAAGAAGCGACAAAAAGATATCTATTTAGAACGGATTATGAATGCACGATAAAAGGCGTTACATAACTTGTAACTTATCTGAACGTTTGATTAATCCAAATACATTCCATAGCTCGTTTCCAAAGAGTAATATTTTACAAAATGCAATAGTTGATTTCATTTAAAAAGTTTAAAAAAGAAAAAGACAATTACATACAGTCTATTTCGTATTTATATTATGTTAATATCTAACAACCTTCTTTTTAAAATAACAACTGATTGTTTCGCCTGAATTAAACCCTCTCGGAACTACAGTATACATGCAGGTGATTTATGATTATGTGCATTTATTAACAAAATAGGAAAAAATGGTTCATATTAGGTTACACTTGCTGGCATTTAAGAGAGTGAGAGCGAAGACAGGGCAAGCGCTCTCGTGCCCTCTCCCTCTCCTCTCTTCTCTCTCTCTTCTCTTCTTCCTCACTCGCATTCATCAATCGCTACTGCTCTCCCCCTCTCTGTCCCTTCAGGTCTCCCTCTCTTCCCTCTCCCCCTTTCCCTTCCTCTTCCTCTTCCCTTTCCTCTCCCGCCCATTTCCTCCCTTCCCCTCCCTCTCTCCTTAATCTCCCCTTTCCCTCCCTTCCCCCTCTCCTCCACTCCCCCTTCTCTCCCTCTCCCCTTGCCCCTTCCCCTACTCTCTCAACCCATCTCCTCCTCCTCTTTCACAATCCCTCCTCCCTCCCCACCCCATCTGCTCTTCCCCTTTCCCTCTCTCGTCATCTCCCCTCTTTTGTTCCTCTTCCTCTCCACCTTTTTCCTCTCTTTCTCACTTCCATCCCTCCCTCATCCCCCATTCCCTACCTCTTCCCTTTCGATCCACTCACTTCCTCCACTCCACTTCCCTCCATCCTTCCTTCCTCCCTCCACTTCCTCTCCTTCCTCCTCCCTCCACTCCCCCCTCCTTCCTCCTCCTCCCCTCCTTCCCCTCCCTCCACCCTCCTTCCTTTCCTCCCTCCTTCCTCCACTCCCTCCCTCCTTCCCTCCACTCCTTCCCTCCTCCCTCCACTCCCTCCTTCCTCCCTCCACTCCTCCCTCCCTTCCCTCCCTCCCTCCCTCCTTCCCTCCACTTCCCTCCCTCCTCCCTCCACTCCCTCCCTCCTTCCCTCCACTCCCTCCTCCTTCCCTCCACTCCCTTCCTTCCCTCCACTCCCTCCCTCCTTCCCTCCACTCCTCCTTCCTCCTTTCCACTCCTCCTTCCCTTCCCTCCACTTCCCTCCACTTCCTTCCTTCCCTCCACTCCCCTCCTCCTCCTTCCTTCACTTCCTTCCTTCCTTCCGCTTCCTTCCTTCCTTCCTTCCTTCCTTTCCTTCCTTCCTTCCTTCCTTCCTTCCTTCCTTCCTTCCTTCCTTCCTTCCTTCCTTCCTTCCCTCCACTCCCTCCTTCCTTCCTTCCTTCCCTCCACTCCCTCTTTCCTTCCTTCCCTCCCCCCTTCCTTCCTGCCCTCCACTCCTTCCTTCCTCCTTCCTTCCTTCCCTCCACTCCCTCACTTCCTCCCTCCACTCCTTCCTTCCTTCCTTCCCTCCACTCCCTCACTTCCTCCCTCCCTTCCTTCACTCCCTCTCCCTCTCCCTCTCCCCCTCGTAACCAACAGGTGACGATCTGCTTGCGCAATCCCACTCTTTGCGGCAGAGATTAATTGGTCTTAATTAAGCGACGATAAACAGCAATTTCGGAGATAAGAAACGACAACAAACCGCTGAGTTATCAGGGCCGCGTCCAGCACACCCGCTTAATGAGACGTTGTGGGGCTCGGGTTTCTAGAGACAGGTTTCTACTAGAGGTCTGTCTATTCTATTCGTCTGCCTCCTTATGTTGTCGTCGTTGTTTTTTTTAGCTCTTGATTTCTGTCTTTATTTTTCTTCGTTTTCAGCTACCTTAACTTTTCTTTTTTCTTAATTCTCTATCTCCCTTCTTCCCCCCTCTCTCTCTCATCTTTTTTCGTTTTCTTTTGTGCCTCTCATCTATTTCTCTCGTTTTCTTCCAACTCTCCTTTCCTCTTCCTCCCCCTCTCTTCCTCTTCCTCCCCCTCTCTTCTCTTCCTCCCCTCTCTTCCTCTTCCTCTCTTCTTTCTCATCCCCCTCTTTCTCATCCTCCCCCTCTCTTCTTCATCCCTCTCTTCTCCTCTCTCTTTCCTCACTCTCTCCCCCTCTCTTCGCCCCTCTCTCCTCTCTCCCTTCCCCTTCTCTCTCCCTCTCCCCTCTCTCTTTTCAACTTTCTCCATTCCCTCCCTCTCTTTCACAATCCCTTACTACCCACCACCAAGAGACTCATAATGCCCCCCCCCACACACAAACCACACCAATCCCCCCTCATACCCCCCCCCCCTCTCCACGAAAAAAGACCACCTCCTCCTCCTCCTCCTCCTCCTCCTCCTCCTCCTCCTCCTCCTCCTCCTCCTCCTTCCTCCTCCCACCTTTGCCCTCCGCCATAAGCCCGGATCGCCTCAGAGCCCGCCAAAAAATCCCGATAACTTTTTAAAATAACTTTTTTAAGATTACCGTTTTGTTCAGGCTTCCAGACGGACACACGGCCGATTTGGAGCAAAGGCGTTAAAGAAGGGTGAAGAAAGAGGCTTTTTTTTAAAGACGGACGATGATAATTGGGTAATAAAGGTGCGAGGGAAGAGAGAAATGGAATGAATGGGTAATAAATTCAAGCTGAATAGAAGGATAACAAAGAAAACGACTAATAAAAGAAATGTACCTCAGCAATATATATTACACACAAATATATATATACAAATAAAAAAACAAAGAAATGACCAATGAAAAAATATAGAGAAATTACTGGAAGTCTGAAGAGGAAATATAGAAAAGCAAAAAACCAAAAAACGAGTATTTTCAAATAGTAATAATAATGAAAATAATAACAATAATAATAATAATAACAGCAACAATTATAATAACAATAACAAAACATAATAATCATAAATCGATAACCATAATAATAACAACGACGATAACAACAGCAACAACAACAACACAAACCCCAACAGCGACCCCAGCAAACAAGCCACGCCCCCCACTTACCTCGACCAACAGCTTCGCGCACTTGACGTCAGTGACGAGCGGGACCGAGAAGTCGACGGCCATGCGGCGGGTCCTGTAGCCCTGGGTCATGAAGGAGGACACGCGACGGGCCCCTCCGCCGCGCATGGGCAGGTTGATCACCAAGTCGAACTCCTGCAGAAGGCGGTGAAGGGAAGGGGGGTTAGAATCGTTACTTTTAGATGTGTAATTAAAATAATTATTGTTATTATTGTGGTAAAAATATTGTTGTTATTATTGTGGTTAAAAGAATTTTAGTATTGTGGTTTCTTCTTTTTCTTTCTTTCTTTTCACTTCACGTGTATATACTTCTTTATATAGTTATTATTCAAAATTCATACATATTCTTTAGTAGTTATTTTCATGAATTTTCTCATTATTTCTTATATATGTATTTTTGTGAATTTATCTACAAACATATTTCTTCTATAATTCTTAAGCTTGCTAAATATCATTCTTACATATACTTACTTTCTTAAACTTCCAAAATACCCTACATGAGAAATAATACTTTATGAGCAAAATACATTTCTTTCCATTCTTAAACCTTATCCTGAAATAAAATACATAAAAAGACAAATTATCCACAAACGTGTATATATACCCGTATGCTGTAGATGAGGCCCTGGTGACGCAGCGTGGAAGAAAATCGAAATAAAAGTTATAGTTCACTCCCAAAGACCAAATCAAAATGGTGAGTTGACGTGCAAGACATTTGTCCGAGATGATTTATGAAGTGAGGTTTGTGCAGGAAAATTTCTTTGGGAGCACCAACGCCTTTCAGGGATAAGTAATTTTCTTGAAAGATATTCTAAATTGTATTATCAATATGTCATAAACATTATATATACCAACTGCTTTATTTAAGACTAAAAATAGTGACAATCGAGCCACACTGCGCCTTGAACCAATAGCGAGTTTCTTTTTTTCAGGAACAGAAAAAAATGGCGCCTTCCCGCTCTAAAAGTGAGAGAATTAAAAGAAAAAAATCAAACAAAACACATGACGATCGAGTGAAATCATTCCGTGCGATTTGAAAGAAGAGATAATAAAGATTCTAAAAAGGACGTTGCTTTTCATCATCATCACAAACGCACAAACATAACTACAAAAAGGAGTGTTTTTGTTTTGCTTCTTCCTGATAAATTCATCATGCATTTTCACTCAGGGAAACGAGAGAACTTCCAGTGGCTTATTGTGGCTCAAAATAAGATCTTTAAAAAATCCATTAGGCTGGACAGCATCGCCAAAGAAACACATTAACATAAATGCAGCAACTTATAAAAAAGAGAAAAATCCCAAGCACATTCACAGCTTTGCACTGCGATCTTGAAATTCATAAATCAATATAAACAAATAAAAGATATAACATCAATAATTTTAAACACAAAATTTTAAGTATCTTTTTTCTTAGCATATTTACACTTTAATTATTAACGGTTAACACCACTTTGAACGCTGATGCTTTCTGCCTATTGGTGGCTTGTGACTGGTTGCGGCGCCTCACTGACCAGTTAGAGAGAGCGGGCACAAAGCTTTAGTGCTGATCACACTCACCAGGGGCTTTCGAGGCGAGGTATGTGTCATTTGTACAGGACATGTAACGGGTTAGTATATATTACCTTTATGATCATATTGAAACTCTTGACTCTTTTTAAATCATCCTTTTAAAGATATAAAACATATATGCATTGGCCGTCCAAAACAAAAGAACCGACAACTGCGTGTACCGCGTGCGTCTCTGAGACACACATAGACCTATTCTAACACGTCGACTTTCTCTCCCACTAAAATATATCATTACTTCTCCACTACTAATCTATTTCTTTAAATTGTGCTTCGCCTCAAAATACTGACCTTTCTGGCCAAATAATCGGCCATGGAAGAGAGCTGGCCCTTGGTGGGTGTTTCGCCGATGTTCTCGTAGGCCCACTCAACCGGCTCGATCTGGAATTGGGGAAATAATAAAGATAATCAAAATAATAATAATTGTATTGTCAATAATAATGTTGATATTAATAATAATTGTACTATCAATAATAATGGTGATAATAATAATGGTAATAATATTAAGAGCAATAACAATACTAATGATGATTACAATAATATTAATAACAATAACAACAATAGTGATAATAATAACAATAACAATCAATTTTATAACAGTAACAATAATAATTACACATATCGATAATAGTACACATGATTGGAAATTGTTGAAAAAACAGCGAAAACAAATTAGTAAAAACACGAAAAAGGATGAGACAGGAAATGAATACTTCCACTGGTCAGAAATGAACCAAAAAAAAAAGTTAATAAAAATCACGAAATTCAGGAAAGAAAAAAGAAGAAAAAAAAATTAACAGTAATCACATCAAAATATTAGAAATTCCATTAGTTAGAGAGGCTACAAATAAATACACAAATTATCCGATATGCAATAAAAAATGGGTCGTGGAAAGCTCGTCTCCCTACTAAATCCGACGCCATCTTCGCAAATACGGTCATACTCATCAAAATCATATTGTTCATGTGTGATATACCCGCACTTTCTTGTTGCCAGGCTCAGTATATTCCTTTGGTGGGGGAGGAGGAGGGGGGATGAGAGGAGTGAAGGGGGGGAGGAGGGAGGAGGAGGAGGAGGAGGAGGAGGAGGAGGAGGAGGAGGAGGAGGAGGAGGAGGAGGAGGAGGAGGAGGAGGGAGGGAGGGAGGGAGGAGGAGGAGGGAGGGAGGGAGGAGGAGGAGGAGGAGGAGGAGGAGGGAGGAGGAGAGGAGGGAGGGAGGAGGGAGGGAGGAGGGAGGGAGGAGGAGGGAGGGAGGGAGGGAGGAGGAGGAGGAGGAGAGGAGGAGAGGAGAGGAGGAGGAGGAGGAGGAGGAGGAGAGGAGGGAGAGAGGAGGAGGAGGAGGAGGGGGGAGCAGCAGCAGGAGAGGAGGAGAAGAGTGGAAAGAAAAACAAAAAGAAATCTATCGAAAAAAAGACGAAAACAAAAAACTAACAGCCTGCGCATTCCAGCATCTCACTCCGAACGCACACCGGATATGACTTAAAGCCAACAGAAAACGCATTCACACACGCTTGAAAAATGCAGATAAACGAATAAAGATAAATAAAAATAACGAAATATTGATGTAATATCCTGACGTCATGCGTTAATCCCAGCTGAAGTGCCGTCGTGGACTTTCTCATCGCTTGACGTCACTTGGTAGACTTATTCCCGCGAGACTGACATGTAGAAGAGAAGAAGAAGAAGAAGAAGAAGAAAAGAAAAAGAAAAAGAAGACAAACACAAAGACGCGAAGACAAAGAAGACGGAGGAGAAAAAGAAGAAAAGGAGGAAGACAACGAGAAAGGAGATTATATATATATATATATATATATATATATATATATATATATATATATTATATATATATATACATATATATGAGAGGGAGGGAGGGAGGGGAGAGAGAGAGAGAGAGAGAGAGAGAGAGAGAGAGAGAGAGAGAGAGAGAGAGAGAGAGAGAGAGAGAGAGAGAGAGAGAGAGAGAGAGAGAGAGAGAGAAAGAGAAAAAATGATAAGAGGAAAAGAAACAAAAGAGAGAGAAAGAGAGACAGCGTGACTAAGTAACAAACAAGCAACCACGTGCTTGTATCAGAAGTCCCGCATACCATCAGACTTCCAAATCTGATAAAAAAAAGTCAAATTAAGAATGCAAGGGCTAAATCGTCCAAGACAAACCCGGTCATTTCTTAAACCCAGATAAAGAAGTCGGTTGGCGATGCAATACCTACTTAGAAGCAGAATGAAGCAGATGAAGATACAAGCAGAAGAGTGGAAATTGCCTTTTATCAGGCACTTCTTTCTTACTTTTAAAAGATGTAATGTGTATATTGTAGCACATTCTAGATAGATAGATTGGTTGGTAGAAAGATAGACAAATAGGTCAGATGAATATGTTACAACGATGGATAGATACAAAGGCATGTAGATAGATAGAAAAGACAGATGTGTAGGTTTAATAGATGGGATAATTAGGTAGACAAATAGATTGATAGACAGTTATGCAAATCGATACTTTATATTTAGGTATTATATATTCATAACATACACTACATTTTACACACAGACGCACACTTCTGGTAGATTAAAGATCCCTTTAAATATCTTCATCTCCATCTGCTGAAGCTCCAAGATTTTTTTTATTATAAGAAAAAAAAAGCTTTATACCTAAACGTATGTAACGAACAGTTAACCAGGATGAACAATATAGATAGATATATAGATACATAGATAGTTGATAGATAAATATGCATATAAATACATTCATACGTACGTACATATGTATATTACTAATCTATTCATTCAGGGAAACTATCAACATCCTAAAAATAACCTTTCGTTTGTCGCCTTCTCAAAATTCAACCAATAATAAAAAAAAAAAAAAATCAATGGTTGCAAAATCCGAAATACAGATGTCGCTTTAACCGGCCTCTCCTTTATCGTATGATGTAATAAACCCCAGTTCCTAGCTGGCTTTGTCATCGCCTTAACACGTCACTTTCATAACGATTTCGTAATCATTTTCAAACCGAAGAAACGATTGAATTTTTCTTAAATTCTGATATCAAAGGTCCTTTTTTCGCTTTTTTTTTCTACGGTATCACCAAAGTTTTATTATCTCTTCATATATTGTGACAGGTAAGGAATGCCTCTCTTTGCTCTTATCTTATCTCTCGCGGAGTCACAAGCCCGGTGTCTTTAATATCAATTAATATGGAATGACACCATAGCGACCCTGCACCTCGTCCCGGCAATAAGCAATCAAGCGCCGCGTTACTCTCATGTTAGACACACATAATAAGAAATAATAAGAAAATAAATATTCCAGGAACAAGAACGTTACGATAAAAATCAAATTCGACCAAATGATGAAAGAGGAAATCGGGAACAAGACATAAAAAACGGACCCAGCTTTACGCCAAAAAATCCAATTAAACAAGAATAATAATAACAAATATTAAAGGAAGAACAAAAACCTCAAACCGACACCCCAAAAACTCAAAATCAACTTAAAAAGAAAAAGAAAATACTCCTTGAACAAAATCTTAATTAAAAAAAGCAGTCCCAGCGTTATCGCCGAAATGCCGACACAACATGGCGGCCGAAAGCAACAATGGCGCTGCCTCGACCCCGATGGCGGCAGTGCCTCGCCGCCCACCCACGAGTGAGCACCTCGCCCCCCTCGCTCCTGCTTATAAGGATGTGATTTACAGTGCATGCGATAGTGCCAAGAATTTTTCACTTAAATACTTTTCTTCCATTATCATTATTATTGCTGTTTCGTTCTCTTTTGAGTCGAAAATCGGATTTTTTTGTTGCGTGTTTTGGCCTCTTTCTGGAATGTGTTGGCGACTTCGAAAAGAGAAATGAAAACACTGGGCTGTAAAGACTTCTGGAGAAACATATTACAGTAGCAGGTAAGTTGCAGGAAATGTGTTAGCAAAGTGCAGGAGAAATGAAACACACACACACACACACACACACACACACACACACACACACACACACACACACACACACACACACACACACACACACACACACACACACACACACACACACACACACACACACACACACACACACACACACCACACACACTCGCACACGAACAACACTCTCGCACTCTCGCACACCACTCTCGCACACTCTCTCGCACACACTCTCGCACACACTCTCGCACACACTCTCGCACACACCTCTCGCACACACTCTCCACACACTCTCGCACACACTCGCACACACTCTCGCACACACTCTCGCACCACACTCTCGCACACACTCTCGCACACACTCTCGCACACACTCTCGCACACACTCTCGCACACACTCTCGCACACACTCTCGCACACTCACTCACTCACTCACTCACTCACTCTTCTATCACCTCTCTCTCTCTCTCTCTCTCTCTCTCTCTCTCTCTCTTCTCTCTCTCTCTCTCTCTCTCTCTCTCTCTCTCTCTCCCCTCACATATATATAATAATATATATTATATATATATATATATATATATATATATAATATATATATATATATATATATATATCTATATATATATATATCTTTCTATCTAATCTCTCTCTCTCTCTATCCATCTCTCCTTTCTCTATCCTCTCTCTCTCTCTCTCTATCCATCTCTCTCTCTCTCTCCATTCTCATCTATCTCTCTCTCTCTATCCATCTACCTCTCTCTCTCGTCTATCCATCTATCTCTCTCTGCTATCTATCTCTCTCTCTCTCTCTATCTCTCTCTCTCTCTCTCTCTCTTCTCTCTCTCTCTCTTCTCTATCCTCTATCTCTCTCTCTCTATCCATCTATCTCTCTCTCTATATCTATCTCTCTCTCTATTCTATCTATCTCTATCTCTCTCTCTCATCCATCTATCTCTCTCTCTCTTCTAATCTATCTCTCTCTCTCTATCCATCTATCTCTCTCTCTCTCTATCCATCTCTCTCTCTCTCTATCTATCTCCTCTCTCTCTATTCTCTATCTCTCTCTCTCTCTATATCTCTCTCTCTCTCTATCCATCTATCTCTCTCTCTCTATCTCTCTCTCTCTCTCATTCTCTCTCTCTCTCTATCCATCTCTCTCTCTCTTTCCATCTATCTCTCTCTCTCTCTATCTCCTCTATCTCTCTCTCTCTATCCATCTATCTCTCTCTCTCTATCCATCTATCTCTCTCTCTCTCTCCATCTATCTCTCTCTCTCTCTATCCTCATCTCTCTCTCTCTCTTTCTCTCTCCATCATCTCTCTCTCTCTCTCCATCTATCTCTCTCTCTCTCTCCTCTATCTCTCTCCTCTTCCATCTATCTCTCTCTCTCCTCTCTCTCTCTCTCTCTCCATCTATCTCTTCTCCTCTCTCCATCTATTCTCTCTCTCTCTCTCATCTATCTCTCTCTCTCTCTCTCTCTCTCTCTCCATCTATCTCTCTCTCTCTCTCCATCTATCTCTCTCTCTCTCTCCATCTATCTCTCTCTCTCTCTCTCTCTCCATCTATCTCTCTCTCTCTCTCTCCATCTATCTCTCTCTCTCTCTCTCTCTCTCCATCTATCCTCTCTCTCTCTCCCATCTCTCCTCTCTCTCCTCTCTCTCTCCTCTCCATCTCTCTCTCTCTCTCTCCTCTCTCTCTCTCTCTCTCTCTCTCTCTCTCTCTCTCTCTCTCTCTCTCTCTCTCTCCATCTATCTCTCTCTCTCTCCTCCATCTATCTCTCTCTCTCTCTCTCCATCTATCTATCCATCTATCTCACCAAATTCATACCGCACTCAGTAACAATATTCTCTAACAAAATCCCCCTCTCCCCCTCCCCCCCAAAAAAAAAATCGTTATCTCATTCTAAACGTTGTCTTTTTATTTATTCATTATTCCTTTTCAACAGATAAGATATGTCTATTTTTTCTTTTTTTCCTTCTTTATTATATCAGCTGTTGTCAGGACGGTTTTCTTTGTGGGCAAATTTCGTAGACATCAAAATTATTCAATTGTGATGTAACCAAACTAATTACTACAGGCGGGTGAGAGGGGGGGGGGGTCCAGAATTTGCTAAAAGAGGGGGGATACGTGGGAGGGGGGTGACGCCTTTATTTTCAACATCAATTGGGTATGATGTGGATGAGGGTTCGCCAAAAATAGCTTATGTAAGTATAGATAGAGAGGCTGAGAGACAAGCCTGAAGATTCGATAAATATAAGATTACCATGGGAGCAGGTACTTACAAGCACACGCATATGCCGATCTCTAAACAATTAGCCAAGAGATTTTTTCATACAAAAAAGATCAAGAGGCAAAAATCCCCCCCCCCAAAAAAAAAAAAAAAAAAAATAATAATAATAATAATAATAAAATAAAAATAAATAAAATACATAAAAAAAAGAAAAAAAAACAGGAATAATAATAAAATAAAATTAGCTATGAGATTTTTTCATACACATAAAAAGATCAATAGAGGCAAAATCACCCCCCCAAAAAAAACAAAAATAAAAAAAAAAAATAATAAATACATAAAGAAAAAAAAAATAAAAACAGGAATAATGATAATAATAATAAAAAATTAGCTATGAGATTTTTCATACACATAAAAAGATCAATAGAGGCAAATCACCCATCCAAAAAATATAATAATAATAAATAAATAAATACATAAATAAAAAAGAAAAAAAAAAACAGGAATAATAATAAAAAAACGAAACAAAATTAGCTATGAGATTTTTTCATACACACGAAAAAATCAATAGAGGCAAAATCACCCCCGCCAAAAAAAAAAAAATAATAATAATAATAAAATAAATAAATGAAAAAATAAAATAAACAGGAATAAAAAAAACATCAAACCCTGAAAGAAATAATAATGATTAATCTAGAAGCCTTCAGAGAGCGCATACCTCTGCGAACGCTGTAAGGTCACTGATGCAATATAAATACTCACACGAAGATTTACATTAAAATCCCCTTTCTCAAGTCCACAGGTGACGTCCGTAAGCATAACCTTCTTGCATGAGACAAGGCAATAGGGGTCATGATGCAATCATTCAAAAACATTATTGGGATCTAGGTTAGGCTAAGGCACACTGCTAAAATTTTCTTTAAAATCTCTTCATAACCGAATTATCCTGATAAACGAATGAATTATATCCCGAACTCCACCACAATTTAATCGAATCCAAGTTAGGCAAGGACACACCTCCGCTAAAAATTTCAGAAAAAAACTATTCAAAACTTTTTTTCAGTTATCCTGCTAATCACCGAACAATCAATCAATCTAAAGACTAACAGCCGGTTTGTTAAAATTGTGCCAGACCCGACCCGATGAATTTTCATAAATACAGATGCAGAAATAAAGGCATATCTGTCTATATATCTGATAGATATACATTTAACCATCTATTACCCGGGTTGATATGCATGTCTAGATTTATAAATATGCATTCATTTCTTTATTTATGCATGTCAAGTATACGAACATTATTTGGGTCAGGCCTCGCGCAATTCGAACAAACCGGCCGAAAAAAAACGAAAAAAAAAAAAAAAAAAAACACAAAAACACCAAATTAGCCCATTGAAACATCCTCTGACGCCCTCTAGAAAATGAAAACCAACCCCCCAGCTTCCCACACGAATCACAAGGCCTCGGCAGATTCGGCCTATCAGCTGATTCCTATTATAAGCAAGATTCTTATCGCTTCGCCCTTATCGCTCGCGCTCGGATGACTCGGCATAGCGCTGCATGGCACGCACTCGCCCGTATCAGATCAGATGTTGCCGGGAGGCCGGGCTTCTTGTTCTGCGGCTTTGTATGCGCATATATCTATGTATATGTATATATATGTATGTATGTTTATATATATGGCATATGTATATGTATATGCATATGTGTGTGTGTGTGTGTGTGATATGTGTGTGTGTGTGTATATGTGTGTATATATGTGTGTGTGTTGTGTGTGTGTGTGTGTGTGTGTGTGTGTGTGTGTGTGTGTGTGTGTGTGTGTGTGTGTGTGTGTATTATATACATACATGTATATATGTGTGTAAATATATATATATATATAGTACGAGTGTGTGTGTGTGTGTGTGTGTGTGTGTGTGTGTGTGGTGTGTGTGTGTGTGTGTGTGGTGTTGTGTGTGTGTGTGTGTGTGTGTGTGTGTGTGTATTTTTTTATATGATATATATATATATATATATATATATATATATATAGTATATATGAAAACCAAAGTGTCAAAGGAGACTACCGAAACGACTAGAACTGCGGCTGTTCATCTACACGCACGCACGCACGCACGCACACACGCACACACATACACTAATACACACACACAATATACACCAATACACACACACACATACACACACCCATACACACACATACAATTATTCCCTACTAATACTCATGTTTAGTCTATTCAGTATTAAGATAATATCAATGACTTACCTAAGAGGGTTACCTAGGTTAGTTTGACTGGTTTCACTGTTTTAGAATTCGCTGGTAACTAAAGTGTTTTGGAAGAAAAGTATCTTGTTTATGTGGCCTGTTTTTTCTTTATTTCTTTCTTTCTTTCTGTCCATACAACAGGGCTTCGGATGCGAAACTATTCTATTAGTGGGGGCGGGTGGCGGGGGGGGGGTATCGTCTTATCCGGGGAATAACAAACCTGAATCACATCAGAATTTTTAGTCAACTTGTATATACGGTAGATACATATACCGATGCAAAACAGATGCATATGTATACATATATACACATTACCGATCTATTATACATATATACATTATATATAATATATATATATAATATATATATATTATTAATAATATATATTATATATATATGCATATATATATATATAATAATATATCCTATATATATATATATATATTATTATATATATTTATATATATATATATATATATATATATATAT